TTTCCGCAGAACAGTGAGCAATCAAGTACATTTTTTGGGGCATTTCTGGCGTTTCTTTTTCTTCTGTACCATTGAACGGACAGTCCTGTCTCAACATATCATTATGCATTCTGTGTTGGGAGGTCATGGCATACTTTCTTTTTCTATTCTACATAGCATCTCATTCGGTCATATTCATTCGGCCTTCTATTTTCCTGGCCGTTTGCGGCGTTCAATTTTTTTTTTCCGACTTTTTGTTGTTTACCTTTGGGGCGTTCATTTATTTTCTGTCTTCTTTGTTGACTCACCTCTTCTCTCGCTATTGCTGCAAATACATGCAGTTGTACACTGACTTGTTCATTTCGACTTTGAGGTTTGTTTTTGGAGCTACTTCATTTGGAAATAATACCCCGAGTTCAATTGAACAAAGATTCAATGTTTTTGAATCCTATAATTACTATGGTTACTGTGCTCTCAAATCTTACATCGAGGAGCCTTCAATGGTGTCATTTGACTTTTGCAATAGATGTTATCAATGATCAATTGATGTAGAAGCGTGTTAAACAGATCATATATGGTCTTGACTAAATTGAGAATGTGTAGATACTTCAACCAAAATTATTCAATTCGTCTCTAAAAATAAGCAACTGCGAGTAAAAAAAAAAGAGAGAAAGAGAGAGAGAAAGGAAAGGAAAGATTGATTAGACATCAAAATGACAGAGTATACTACCCATGTGCTGGGGTCATATAGTCCGCAAGACTGGAAGGGAGAGATGTGGTTGTATGTATCTAAGGAGGATGTACGCATGTTGTATCAACGCTGATAAACAAGGTATGCGAAGCAGGAAGGGAGAAAGTGTGTTTGTTAACGAGGAAGAGATATCTTTATACACAGGATATAGATAAAGGTTGACGACATGTACAATTATGGAAAGAAAAATCCGGCGGGGAAAAACGCTAGAAAGGGGGAAAAAAATACACGAAAGCGAAAGAAAAAAAAAATGAAACACAAAATATCAATAAAATTACCGATTCAGATTTAAACTTGCTTCCTTGATTATATCCGCAACTCGGTTAATCCAGGACTGGGTGGCTGTCCAGTTACCGGTGTCAATGGAGTCTCGAATACCAGGGAAGAATCCCTCGTCGTAGCCGGACCAGGCTTGGGGCGCGAAGAGGACGTGTTTGAACTGTGTGCGGTTGGGGACCTGTTTTGGTTCCTGTTAGTACAAAAAAAATCTCCCGATAATACTGACTTGAACTTACTCCACCACCCTCTGAGAGATCCAAAAGATTGGTTTCAAAGTCGGCCATACGAGCATTGTGGTTGATGCGTCGTACCCCCAGCACATTGCTTTCAAACCCGCCAGATCCATAAACAGTGGTATACCAGGCCTGTTCCCACGCTTGAAATGTGGCGGCATTTTTCTGAAATACCTCCACCGCATCCCGTAACGGTTGCATGTCCACGGTTTCTGATCGTTGCTGTGAGTTTTTGGGGTGCTTTAATGGAGCACCTTTTGACTTTGCGTATTTCTCCAGATCAACGACGTAATTGGCAACATCGGAGGCATAGGCTTCCATATCATAGGGGAGAATGGGGCTGTCGGCAAGTTCCAAAAGCAATAGAGCCCAGAACTCAGCCAGCATACGGTGGCGATCAAACCCAGGATCACCGAATCGAGACATCCATTCAAAGTTTTCGTAGCAGCTGTGATATGGAAAAGGTGCGCCGCTAAAACCAAAGTCAATACTTGAAGTTCCTGCCATGTCTTGAAATGCAACGTAGTCGCTGCCAGCACCGAGGCCACCGAGGCTTTTTCCCTCTCCATCCCAGATTTCTTTTAGGGTTTTGTTAGCTGCGACATCCGCTACTCGTCCCATGACTTGGTAGAGAACGCGTCGAAAGAGAGGCGATCCAAAAGCTTCAAAGGAATCCCCACTCACGCCAACATCAACATTGATATAGGCGAAGCCATCCCGTCGCAGGCTCTCCATTTCATTTTCCACATGTTCAGTCGAACCGATAAGATTGTACTCTTCCCCATCCCAGCTTGCAAATTCGATAGTCCGAAGAGGCCGCCAGCCAAGTTCAAGCAGCTCTCCAAAGACCCTTACAACTTCCAAAAAGGCGGCAGTGCCACTTCCGGGGTCAACGCCACCAAAGCACCATGAATCTCTGTGGTTCCCCACAACAATCTTCTTCTCGGGTTGCTCCATGCCGGTGATTCTTCCCAACACGTTATAGATCGGTTGCCTTTCGACTTCGTCTTGTAAATTCATCAGGTTGACTTTAGGTGACGATTCATCACCTGTCCACCATTCCGAGATGTCCGGCACACCGCCTACCCAGTCCTTAGGTACCTTGGTACCATGACCCTTGAGAACCTTTAATAATTGTTGTGCGTCTCTCCAGGCAATTGGAAGACTCGGTATCTGAACCAGACCCGGAGTTTCCGCCGGCGATAGACGGTTCTTCTCGTCTGGTGTTGAAGCAAAGCCTGGTGAAAGAACATCACCTACTACCCAAGACATGAGACTGACACCACCTCGCTGCACGCCATCCTTGGGCATATATCGGCCATCCGGATATACCGGGCCCTGAACAAAGCCATCTTGGGCGGGGTCTGAATAAATGATGCATCCAACGGCGCCGGCAAGTTCTGCTGCTTTGATTTTGAGCGCGCGGTCTCCCTGAGTACCATAGTACCGCACGAGAGCGATTGATCCGTTCAGAGAGATTCCTTGATCTGCGAGCTTCTTAAAATCCTCACGGGATCCAAAGTTGGCGTACACGAGGGGGCCAGTCACATTACCGGACTTGGAATGGCCGTGGAAAACGGGGGTTTGCTGCCTCGGCGGGTCTGTGTACACTTCCTTTTCGTCCACAGCGGCGTCCCATGCAAGGTTAGGAGGGTCGACAATAGCCACGCGACGGCCATCGGCTCGCGGGTAATTCAGATATACTTGGAACTCCTCCATTTCAACTTGTTCCAATCCAGCCTGCGAAAATCCTTGCTCGATCCATTCGGCCAGCGCATAGCTTCCCTCTGTTCCCGCCATATGAGCGTATTGCGTGACTTTGTTGAGGTTTTCGATGATATTCGACTGATTGATATGGCTCTGGACGAAATTCTCAACCGAGGATGGTGTGTAGGACTGGCCAGAACTCAAATGGGAGTTCACAGAAAATATGTCGGACACAAAGAATATATATACGGTCAAGATCACAATGAGGAGGCCCACCATACGGAGAATAATCATACACGCTTGTCCTTCTTCATTCATCTGAAGTCGCCAAAAGTCGGTGCGAAATCGAAATCGAGGGAAATACTTTCGAAAGGGGAATTGGATATTCGACAATGTTTTCGACAAATTAGAAAATGGTTTCGTGAAATGATGGCGTAACGTCGGTCGAGTGGCTTGCGAAGACGACTGGCCGGAATCGTCGACATCCATCTCGTGCAGCTCGCGGCGCAGGTCTTCCATCGATTCGCGCGGCGAGTTTTCGGCAGACGACGCGAGATAGTCCATGCTCGAACGCGCTGATTCCACAGTGGGCGGCTGATAGCCTCCATTGCGAGTCGGCCTGTTGTCACTGGTGCTGCTGCCATGTTGGAGGAGGCCCTGCCTCTCTAGATCATCACTTGAATGCTCTGGGCCAAGGTGCGAAGATCCTGGGCGAGAAGAGGTTGCCTCGTCATAGCTCGGGATCGGCAGATGCACATATTGAGCCTTTTCGTCGCCCATCGCCGAGATGGGGTTAACAGAGCTCTGCGGAGCCCTGCTGGTGTACGGAGATTAGGGACAGCGGACCATTCGGGATCATGATCTGGTGAACGAATGATGCACGGCGATCAGAAGCATAACGAACCTGCTTCTTAGCACCGAAATAGCGAAAGCGAGGGGGACATGAAATGGCAATGAGCGTCGTGGGGCGACCAAGTCGGGGTTTCTGACTGAAGGGGTGTAACTGCGTAGTTGGTCTGTCTGGGTGATACGGGAGAGAATGGCTGAGTCAGGCTTCCCGCGGATGGTTGCGTGGCGCAGCCGGTGTCGCTGCATGTACGCATTTCAAAAGGCGCACAATTAGCCTGCTGGCAGTTGTGTGTATTATAAAAGCGAAATGTTTTGATTTTTTCTTTTTTTTTTTTTATCCTCCCCTTTTTTGGGGATAAGAAAGAATAATAGATGGATTGGTTGGAATAGTCTGGGATGGATGGAAATTCCAATCTCGTTATGATGTTACACTCTGTGACGAGCCTTGGGCGTATTGAAAGATTGATAAGATAAGATGTATCTGTCAGGCACAGTTTCACACTCGATGCTCAATCTATGCTGACCTCACTTAGATTTAAGAGGTAGGTAGTTTAAGTTTGTATGCTAATGTTCCTGTTTTTAGAGTAAGTCCTGGGCATGATATCACGGTCTCCGGTTCGAATTAAGCCATTATTCTCGCTGCTAACACAAATCTTAAATTCTCGTTTATTGGGAAAAGGGACAATATAGTACGGATATTGCAAATTAAATTGTCAAGCAGCATCATTATTTTTTAGAAAAACGGTGCACTCGGTGGGTTTTTTTTTTTTTTTTTTTTTTTTTTTTTTTTT